CAAAAGTCTGACGTGACAAAACATAAACAACAACAAACATTATGAGCTGGAAACTGTAAGACTAAATAAGCCGGGGCTGATGAGGGCGTGGATGCAGCGTGTCCTGAGATGACTCCTGTTGTAACTGTATAAATAAACTGAACTGAATTGATGCAGCTGAGACTTGATGGAATGGAGAACAGGTGTAAGTGGGCGTGGCAGGAGAAGTGAGGAAAACCAACAAAAAACAATGAAAATACCAAGAAATAACTGGAAAGTTCCTGGAGAAGCTTTGACAGGAACTGCCGGGCTGTTCACTCTCAGCCACCATTATACCAAAGTTCAGCTTAAAAGCTCTAAAAAAGACCAAGTTATAGTATTTTTTCTCTTTTAGCTAAGGCGGCCATCTTGGATTTTTGATTTTCAGTAGGAATGTATAACCGCTCGCTCTCAGCTACAACTGTACTTAATTTCAGCTCAATATCTCAAAGAATGACTGGGTTATAGTCAATTTTGTGTTTGTTGAGGTAGCTGTGGCAGCCATCTTGAATCCGAATGGCTCCAAACGTTAATGAGTTCTAGAAATACATTCCTTTCTGTGAGTTTCAAACAAATCCAACAGTGGGTTTCTGTTTTCTTCAGGGACATCTACACTGTAAGTCATGTGACGTGACGCCAGCAGTTAGCGTGAGTGTTCTCCCATTCATTTCCTATGGGGGAATATGACGTCTTTGTTAGCTAAATACGTCGCCATGGTAACGCTTGATGCGCCTCATAGTCCGAAAAATACAGTAACTATTTTTACACTTACTAACGTAACCCCACACTCAAACTTGGGTTGAGTCAAATCATTAATGTAAACAAGCAGAACGTCGATGTCCCCGTCCCTGACGGATTTGAACGGTAAACGTCTGTAGTTTTTGAGATGAGTGTTTTTCTGGACTGGATTTTTTTGACCTGGCAACCCAGTTTTCTGTAGGGACCTTTCTTACGCCTAGATGCAGCTACACACCGACATGGAAGTCGGTACCTCTTTTATTTTTAAGTTAACATGCTCACAACATGCGCAGAAGAATGGACAGACAGAGGGTATTTCAAATCCTCCCTCTTTGTTCCGTGACGGGGGACAATACGATGTCCATGAGAGACGTTGAGGACTTGGTATATGTTTGAGTGTAAAATGTGTTCAGGTTAAAAGAAACGAGCCTAATAAATAAATAACGATGTACAAATTATCCGGACCTACAGTAAAAATACACAAACCTCCATAAACTCCATGTTAGGAAACATTTCGTCGAATGGTGTGGATGCCGACTCAGCATTCAGTTTATCACTTTTATATAAACTATACATCAAAACCTTCGGCTTGATCAGGGATAAAGTACCATGACTTTTGGTATTTGTTCGGTAACTTTTATAGTAGTTTAATTTTATTTACATAAAAATCCATAGACATACATTGAGATCTCTTTAATTTCTTTGAAAACGTCTGAAATTTAATTGTGCTAATTGTAGCCTTTAACTACTGTTTTGCCAGTTTTAGCTGCTAGCTTATATTTTGTTAATCTTTGCATTTATTTGTGGTTTTGAAAAGTTAAAAGCCTTTAACAACATTCTTGCCACTTGTAGTTTTTAGTTATGTTTTTGCTGTTTTAGCTTCTGTTCAGCTT